TAGGGAAAGTTATGTTTTGTTAGGCTAGACAAAGTTTAGTTCTCAGCAATTACTTATCGGCTTTAATTTACAGGGTTTAGCAGAAGCCTCACATGAGCAGCAAATGTGGAGGCTCTCAGGTCACATCTCAGTCATCCTGACATAGTTCTTTTCACAAGGTCATGAAAAATTTTTCTTCGTTTTACTGCTTTACATATCTGGGAAATCTTTAGTATCTTTAAATTCTGATGGGAAGAAGTCATATTGGACTTTTAAAACTGTCTTTATTAAAACTAGAAGCTTTATATTGTTGGATCACAATAAGGATAAAAGTTACAATGTCAGGGCTTCCCTGGTGGTGCAGTGGTTGAGAGTCCACCAGCTGATGCAGGGGACACATGTTCGTGCCCTGGTCTGGAAAGATCCCACATGCCACGGGAGCAGCTGGGCCCGTGAGCCATGGACACTGAGCCTGTGTGTCTGGAGCCTGTGCTCCACAATGGGCGAGGCCACAATGGTGAGAGGCCCGCATACCGCAAAAAAAAAAAAAAGTTACAATGTCAGACCGAAACATCTGAGAGACTCTCAGATTGGAAAGAGACTATAAAGTTTATTTAAGCTGAAGAAATAAAAGTTAGAAAATAACAGAAATAATCCAATGTCAGGTTCTTTCTTAATACTTATAGGAAACATTGTAAAGATATGATCTCTATTTCCTAAAATTTTAAGCATTTGTTAAAATAATAAGCCTAGATATATGATGGGTCTTAATTACACAATGAACTTTAACTTTAAAATCATATACATCCTGAAATACCTTTTTAGATCCTGAACAAAAGTTCAAGAGCAACAAACCCTACTCAATTCAGAGATCAGGAAATGATTTATAAGGAAACATGTAAGCACTGTGACAGTGACTTTATAAGGAGAAAATAGAGACAAACCAACATAACTATTACTCTGGCAGATTAACTAACTTTCAAGAGAAGTGATTCGTTTTCATATATAATATAGAGAAACAAAGCATGAGAAATTTTAGGAACAAAATCTAGGCATGAGCATGAACTCTAAAAAGAATTATTTTTGAGGGTAGTTTCCAGCTCTCTGTTCTTTTAAGACTTATCTTCAAATTATTTTCAAATTCTTCAGAAAAAGGCCATGTCTATGTCATAATCAAGATTTGTTAATGTACCTAGATTATGTAAAAGGAGACTACCTTGACAGCAATTAGCTTTATGACTTTGAATAAATCCTGTCAAATTCTATGCCCTGTTTCATTTTATGTCTATGGTCTCACCAAGCTCTAAAACTGAAAGTGAAAGATATTCTATTTTTCACTATTTGCTCTAATATTGCACCCATCATAACTTGAGTGACTTGAAAATAAAGTATACTAAATTTTTTCCCCAATAAAATTTCCCAAGCTACAAAATGCTTAATAAGGTATTTGGTTATTAATATTTTGCCTATGATTTTTATAAATATATTTAGGAGATACAATGGCCATTAATTTTCCTCCCTTGTAACATCCTTTTTAGGTTTTGTATCAATGTTATATTTGCCTCATTAAAAGAACTGGGGGAATGATCACTTTTTCTGTTCTCTGGTGGAAATCTTTTTATTTTCTTTTTAGTTTTTCATTGACTTTACTGTGGTGTGTAGTTTTCTTTGTTTTATCATGGGGTATGTAGTGAATCTTGAATCTGTGTCTTGATGTCTTTAACACATTTTCAAAAACTCTTGGCCATTATTTCTTCAGATGGCCTTTGCCCCATCATGTCTCTCCCCTGCTTTTTAGACTACAATTACATGAATCTTATAATTTCTTACCATGTTTCATTTGTTTTCCAAACTATTGGTTTTTATCTTTATATCTCAATATTTTAGTTTAAATGTTTTCTACTTATTTTTCAAATCACTATGTTCTTCATTTGCATTCAATCTACAAGTTCAGTGTGTTTACCAAAATCGCTAATTCAATTATTATATTTCCTTATTTATTTCCATTTTATCTTTATAGAGCCTAATATTCTGTGAAATCCTCCAGCTTGTCATATATATTAAAACATATTAATGACAATTATTTTTACATCTACTAAATAACCAACTGTGGATCCATCCAACTAAAGATATCTGAAGCACCTGGGAACATGTTTCTAATACCTGCTTTTCTCCCTATGTCTTCTTTCTTCATAGGCCTGTTATTTTTTTCTTTAATGTCAAGTATTTATATATATATATATATATATATAAATGAAATAATAGGGTCTGGGTGAGGTTAACTCTTTCTAAAGAGGGTTTATTTTGACTGCTGGCATTTACATTAGATCACTTTAATACAATTAGAGATCTCATTGATTTAAATCTAGGTTTCACCGTTTGTATTATCTTGTCTATTTCCACTTTCCCTGATCTCTAGGATATAGTTCTTCAGGGAGTTCAGTTGAAAGCCCATTTTTATACCACAGTCCCCTGTCTTTGCTGGTCCTTAAATTCAATTTTTTATCTTTCAAACTGTGTTTAACTTCTCAACCTCATCTAAACTATTTTCTGTTTGTCTAGCACATTTAGGAATAAGCAAATACCACTAGGAGAAAAATGGCACAAAATAGCGGCCTTACTTGAACTTTCCTTCTTTATGTCCCCTCATTTGCCCTCAAGTTCTGGCTGTATTTGAGGCCCATAATTCCAATATCCATTCCTCCCCCAAGCCCCATGGTACCACCAGAAGTTCTTCTTAGTTGCCACATTATTAGCTTCTGAGCTTCTCAGGCTATGCTGCTTACAGTTGGTAGAAATCTTGAGGAGGAAAGAAAAAGCTGTGTAGAATTTTGAGCTGACTTCCATGAGTTTAGCTTATTTCTGGGATCTCGTTCTTTCAGGTCCTGGCTGCCTTAGTAGCTATAAGTATATTCCAATAGTTATTTTGATATTATATGTAATTTTTGCTGGTGTTCTTGGTGAGGGATTTAGTCAGCAGTATGTTATTACACTGTAATTGGAAGCAAAATTCTCCATGTTACTTCTTAACTTGAAATAAGTCATTTATTTCATTATTATTGTTATGTACTTAATAAATTTTCATTTGTAAGTTGTTTTAAGGATTTATTCTCAGAGCACTTGATTGGGTCTGCTGAGCTTATCATGCATCTAAGTATATTGAGAGTCTTCTCCTTGATATGAAATATGGTATCTTAAAGTTTTCATTGTGAAACAGTCTATGATATTAATATATGTAGTAGTCAAACTTAAGTATCATGGACTTTGTGAAATCCTAAAGTTTTTTACATATATATACATATGTGTGTGTATATATATATATATATATATATGATTAAGTATATATTAATACTGAGCTAATACATTCTGTATGTTTTTGTTTAATCAGTTGGATATAGAATATGAAACAACTTACTTTCAAATTTTTGTCAATCTTTTTTACAAACCATGTTTTATAATTCCTCACGATGAAAATTGCCTACTTCTGTAAGGCAGCATTTACTACTATCTCACAAGAATAGTAATTTAGAATAGTATAATTAGATAGTCTACCTCAATGTCAAATTGATTAAATTAACATTTTATTAGTAATAAATTTTAGAATAGGCATGTTTGTAATTTACCATTTCTGCAATGTTTTTCAAGTTTACTAATTTACTATCTTAATAAATACAAATAGCCTATCTTTTAAATCTCTTTAGGATGAGAAAAAAGTTGCAATTCATTTACTGCTTCTTAGAACAAATCATTTAACACTGAATGCATTTTTCTGATATATTAATAATGATGAATATAAGAAGAGATGCATTGATTTTTCCTATAAAATTCTAAAATTCTGTATGTAGTTCTGGAAAATTGGTGGCACTTTCTAAATCTCTTTTTTTGGGTATGGTTTTCAGGCTCTCAGCAACTAGCCATTCTCTGACACCTCAAAGTGATGTGGACTCCAGTAGCTCTGAAGAATTCTATCAGGCTGTGCATCATGCTGAGCAAACCTTCAGAAAAATGGAAAGTTACTTGAAACAACAGCAACTCTGTGATGTTATCCTGATTGTTGGGAAACGAAAGATACCTGCACATAGGTATAGTAATCTGTCTTTATTGGAAATATGCATTCATATGTTTAGAGTGATTGTCTGTTATGTAGATTGCAAAATATTCTGCAACTAGAAAATTAAGAATCCACATTTCTAAAAAGCTTGGGTATTTTTCTTTTACTCTTGTTTATTTCCTTTTGTGGAGAGTTATAATGCCATTTTAAGTCATCTTTTTAAGAAGTAAAGCAAATATAAATAATTCAAAAATAAAAGTTCTAATAAGGGTTGAAAAATACTTCATTTTATTGATTCACAATCATACTAATTGGAAATCAATTTTAACTTAGGAGGATGTACCTAAAGTCTGAAATGAGATATGTTTTTCTGTCAAAACTGAAAGGAAGGCGGGTTATCTTGGGTATACATTATTTATTTCAAATAGGAAAGTCAACCTATTTCATAGTGGCATCTTTATTTTACATTGATTAACTTGTGACATACTAATATTATTCATAAGGCCCAATATATTTAAAGGCTAATACACTTTCAAACATCCCTTACATATTTATGATTGATAATTCTAAGTTACATGAACTAGACATCTGATTATTTTGTATCATATTGATATGATATCAGTTTACTTCTGAAACTTTATTAAACTTGGTGTTGATTTTTTATTCAACTTTTCTATTTATTTTTTGATATTCTAGGTAAGAAATTTTTAATTTAATTTTTTGATACTTATTATTTTAAATAGTTGAACATATGGGCAAAATACCTTAGACTACCTTGTTGTATGCCATTTAATTAATTGTATAACAAATATTTTCAATGTACCCATTTCCCCTATATTTTTTAAATTAAATTATATTATCTAGATAATATATATGCACCTAAATGCGGATTTAGAAAATAAGGATTCCAGAAAAATAAGGTTATATTTTTATTATGATAGCAATGTTAAAATGTGGACATTGATTTTGAAGTAATACACTAGAAATGCATAGGAAAGAACATTTGATATTAATTAACTCATGTAGGTCATATGGGTTTCAATCTGTCAGCTAACTATGGCAAAAATTCTAATGATATAGTATTTGCACTTATTTTTCAAGCACTTCTGTGAAATTGCATTATCATTAGCAAGAGAGCAATTACATTGTCATTATTATGGAGACATTCAATATTGTAATATATATGGCAAATATGCAACTTATTCTGAGCTATCATCTAAATAGCATCTAGATAAAAATTCTATTGTAAGAGATATTTTAATTTGAGAATGTAGCTAAGTTTATTTCATTTAAATTGCACATTAGTTAAATAATTATATTTTATTTAACTAATATATATATAATTATATATTTGTTTAAGGAAATAGAGGGACTCAACTCAAAAGTATGTTAAGGGCTTCCCTGGTGGCGCAGTGGTTGAGAGTCTGCCTGCTGATGCAGGGGACACGGGTTCATGCCCCAGTCTGGGAATATCCCACATGCCGTGGAGCAGCTGGGCCCATGAGCCATGGCTGCTGGGCCTGCACGTTGGGAGCCTGTGCTCTGCAACGGGAGAGGCCGCGGCAGTGAGAGGCCCGCGTACTACAACAAAAACAACAAAAAAAGTATGTTAACACATCAAGTGCTCATTAATTTTTTTTTAAAGAACAAAGCTTTATATAATTTGTATAATCTTATTTTATTGGCTTTATTGGTAATAACTTAGTATTTCCCATTTGAATTCCCCCATATTGATTATATTCTACATTGTTTATTACTCTTATCTAGATTGTTACTATTATTTTGTAAATAATGTATTTATTTATGCATTTCTTTTACAATAACCCATTTGACTAAGACATAAATTTGTTTCTTGGTTTAGATTACTCTAAAATACCTGAGCAATGTATTATTTATATACATATTATTCTAAACATTTAAGTATTTTGTATATTTAGCAGATATTAAATTAAATATCATCAATTAAATATTAATCATGTTTTTCTTAAGATGATAAGAAAAATTGTACTCTCTTCACTAAATTTATTTAACTAAGGATTAATATTTTCTTACCCGATGGTTTAAAACTTAAGTACTATCTTTTTAACAAGTAAATTACATACTTATGTTTCTAAGTTAAACATATCTTAACAAATATGTGAGAAAATATTTATGGGACACCTGAAAAAAGCAAGCACTGTTTTCAATAATTGGAAGTATGTTGCACCTCCTTATTTATACTTTTGCAAAATGAAATAACTGTAATTAATGCAAAATTAGATCTTTGCTTTAAACAAATAATCATCTTAGTAATAGTAACAAATGAATGGATTTTTATGTCATGCTGTTACATTTTGATTAACACAGTTGAGTATTGTCCTCAAAATATATATATGCAAAATATATATAATGTTGCAATCATTAGCAGTGAAAAATATGGAACTGTTAAAATAAGTTAAAATAATGAAAAAAGAAATAATTTGCATTAAGTTCTCCTGCTCTTCCAGTAAATACATTGCAAGCTAATGTCATAAACAGTCATTCATAAAGATCATGTATATTTATTTTCATATTAATTATATTGTCATTTGAAACTCTCAAATCAATTCCTATTTAATTTAACAGATTATGACCATTAAAGGGCTCTCCATAAAACCTTTAGTTTATGTGATGGCTATATTGTATATATATTTTTAACCTGATGTAGGTCACAACTATCAATTTATTTATGAAATGCCATTTCTGTATAGGTATCAAGTTATTATTAGGCATATTTTTAAGTAGGTTAATTCTGAAAGGCTAACAATACTTAAGATGACACATTAATACATTTTCATCATGAAAAATAATGAAACTTTTGATTTTATCTGTGTTTCAGGTTCTCAGAAAAATTCGAAAATAAATATAGACTTCTCATAAATGGCCTAGAATAACTGATTAGCAATAAGTGAACCAAAACACTTGAATGTGAAACCGTGAATACTAAATACAGGAATTTTGATAGGTAGGCTGCCTGTAATAAAGGATGTCAGATCCTGAAAATTAGACTGGCAAGGTCAATATTAATAATTTGGACAGTCAAATTTTCAATAGTAAAATATTAAGGAGTTTTCATGGCTTACTCTCTCATAATGCACAGATATATAATGAAACATGGTTAAGCTTTTGAAAGTTTTTTCTCCCTTTAGCCGTTATTAAGAGTAAGTGCAGTGGATAGAAATAAATGAGAAAATCTCAAATAGTACCATCCTCTGAGTTGGAAATAATGTTACTTATAATTTTATGTGCATAGAAACAGCGTAGAAGCATATACAACCTACAGTCAATGAAGTTTTTTTTTTCCTGGGGAGCAGGGTTGCTGGGCAGTATAAAAGAGGTGTTGTAATTATTTTTAATACATAAACATATAAAGTCTTTGAACTTCTTAGTATGAACATTTCGTGATCAAATAAATACTTAATGAAAATTAAAATGATATGTGATGGGGACAAAACACATTTTCTCTTTAGACCAAAATACTGGGCATTTCTGGAGGCATCATATTCTGTTTTAATTTTTGTGCATGTTTGACAATGAATTTAATTATTTCAAGAATACATTTATTATTTTAATGTTCTTTACTGAGCACAAGTATCAAGGAATAGGTGAGGCTAAAAGTGGGACTTGATGTATTTAGAAACATATTTAATAGAGTAAAAAGAAATTACTTTAGAAGTAACTTAGATGTTAATACTCAAGAATAGGCAAGTAGCAGTGTTTCTCTCTACTGGTGGAAAGCTTACTTATAGATATTCTTTGATGGGAGAGGAATAATTCATTTTTCCATTATATTAAATCCAACATCCACCTAAATCTCTCAGTCAGCTTTGTAGTTTATAATAGTTCTGTACAAGCTTCAGGAAAAAAAAAAAAAAATGTCCCAGTACCTGTTGTTTTCAGTAACTCCAGGCAACTCCCACAGCCCCAGACATCACCCATGGCACCAGGCTCCAGAAGGGCTCCTAATCTGCCCCTCACCCTCGATTACAAGGTGGTTCCTTGAACCTAGGCTTCTGGCTGGGCACAGCCAAGCCAACTACTAGAGACCCAGGCTTTGACCCATTCTAGTTTCAGGCCAGGCCCCATATCCCCACTTTCTCAGTTCACCCCAGTTCCAGACCTGCCCCTGTGGACCCAAAGTCTTGGTTGGTTCCCATGGATCAAGACTCTCTGCTTTCTCAACACCAGACTTGTTTTGTCAGAACAAACCCTCAGACTGACCCCCAAGTTCCCAGTTTACAGGCTGACTCTGGTGGTCTCTGCTCCAGGCTTACCCTAGTGCCAAGCCAGCCACAAGAATAATCTAATACTGTAACGTGGTTGTGTGTTAATAACTTTAATAAAGAGGTTAGAGGACAAAAGTGTTAAAAATAACAATAACTATAGTAATTTGTTAATGGATACACAGTATAGCAATAGGTATATTGTGACATCAAAACAAAATACTGGGAGGAGTGGGAGTAAAAGGTCAAAGTGTTCCTATGCAATTGAAATTGTTATCAGCATAAAATAGACTTATTTTTATAGGATGTTTTATGTAAGTCTCATGGTAACCACAAAAGAAAAAAAGAGGGGAATCAAAGCATAACACTATAGAAAATTAACTGCTCCCAAAGAAAGATAGCAAAACAGGAAGAAAGGAAAAAGGGACCTGCAAAACAGCCAGAAAACAATAAGTTGACATCACAAGTTCCTTACCTATCGCTAACTACTCTAAATGTAATTGGAATAAATTCTTCAATCAAAAGACATAGCATTGGCTGAACAGCTTAAAAAATAAGACCCAACTATATTCTGCATACAAGAGACTCACTTTGGCTTTAAGGACACACACCATATCAAAGTGGAGGGATGGAAAAAGTTATTCCATGCAAATGGAAACAAAAAGAGAGCAGGGATAACTGTAGTTATTTCAGAAAAAGTAGACTTTAAGTCAAAAATGGTAACAAGAGACAAACATGGTCATTATATAATATAAAACAATCAATTCATCAATAGGATATAACAATCATA